GAAGGGAAGGAAAGAAAGAAAGAAAGAAAGAAAGAAAGAAAGAAAGAAAGAAAGAAAGAAAGAAAGAAAGAAAGAAAGAAAGAAAGAAAGAAAGAAAAGGGGTCAGGAGAAATGACTTACCAGTTAAGAACACACATGTCAAGTGGCTGACAACCACCTGTAAACTTCAGTTCCAGGGACTCAGTGCCGTCTGGCCTCCACAGGCAACTGAACATACATATCCACATGCAGACACACACATACACATACATTTTTAAAATAAAAATTTGAAAGAAAAAAAATCACACCTACCTTATAAACTATTCATGTCTCTCAGAATATAAAAATAGCAGTTTGTATCCTGTTTGTGATTCAGTCAGAACAAAAAGTCACACACACACACACACACACACACACACACACACACACACACACGGCACATTGTCTCACCAACCACGTACTTTTATTGACCGCCTTGTACTGCTCTGGCAGCATGAGAAGCTTCATATTGTGATGTCAGTTTTGCTATCATTCCGCAAACATTTATTTGTGCTTAGTGTAAGAAGGAGCTCAGAAGCCGTTGACAGCGAACGGAACAGCACATATACTTTTTTGTGTTTACATTTCAGTCTTGTACTAAGTGGAGGTTAAGAATATAAAGAAACTTTCTAAAAAATGTATCCAAGTTGCTTTGTAGGCTCAGCTGTGTGATGATATTTTATTTGTATGTTAATAAAGCTTGCCTGGAGACCAGAGGGGAAAGGCCAGCCATTTTAAGTAAACAAGAAGTCAGTCAGCACACACCTTTATTCCTATCAGCAGGCCGGGTCTCTGTGTTCAAGGCCACACTAGGAAACAGAGCCAAGTGTGGTGACAGGCCTTTAATCCCAGTACCAACCATAGATGTCTGGAGGTCTGTATAGACAAACAGAAAGTGACAGAACTGTGTAGGAAGAGGAAGTAAGGTAGCTGGGCTAAGAGCCAATGAGAGGGCAGAATAGCAAGGCAATAAAGACATGGGTAAACAGGAAGTAACAAGCATTTGGAAGCTGCAGAGTTGGTGAGGTAAGGTTGGCTGGTGTTTTCCCTATTTCCCTAATCTAAGGCTTTCACCCCTGTATTTGGCTGTGTTTTTTATTTAATAAGACCGGTTAGAAATCCATCCACACCGCTGGGAGAACACTTACCCGGCATGCATGAAGCCAGGGTTTGATCCTCGGCACTACACAGAGAAGGTAAAAGAGGATAGATGTCCAAGGCCAATAACTGCACATAAAATCTATGGTCATCCTGGGCTAGGTGAAACTGTCTAAAAATAAATAGATAAGAATAAACTAAGTTGCATTATGGTTTAACTTTTGTCACAAAGATAATATAAAATGGTTTAGGGAGGTTTGTCCTCTTTTACTGCTGATATTCAAGCAGAGCATTTGAATAAGCTGTCAGAGGTCTAGCTTGCAAGCATGAAGCCCTGAGTTTGCTCATCACCCACACAAATGCTGGGCATGGGCCAGGAAGACGACTCCTCAGGGGAAGGTGCTTTCTGTACAAGTCTGATGAGTTCAGTCTCCAGAACCCATTTAAAGGCAGATAACCAACTACGTGAAGATGTCCTCTGACTACCACATTCATGTGCACATGTACCCCACACTTATCACACACATTTGCACACCCATTCACTCTTCACCCACACAAACATATACAAACTTACATACACCCAAAAGAGCCAGGTTGCTCTACTCCGTAGTACACAGAGCACCCCAGCAAAGCTATCAGATGGCTTCTCCAGCTCTTTCTGTCCTAGTCAAGCCCAGCTACTGGTGGTTGCCCTCCTCACTGCCACTCCACAGGCCAGGAACTGGTTAGATAACCACACTCAAAAGTGAAGTCATAAAGCCGGGCGGTGGTGGCACGAGCCTTTAATCCCAGCACTGGGGAGGCAGAGCCAGGCAGATCTCTGTGAGTTCGAGGCCAGCCTATTCTACAGAGTGAGATCCAGGACAGGCTCCAAAACTACACAGAGAAACCCTGTCTCGAAAGAAAGGAAAGAAAAGAAAAAGTGAAGTCCTAACAAAGCTTAAGCAAAATACGGTGGGGAGTTAACATGGTACATTGTCTTAGATAGAAAAGGTTGCTGAGTTATATTGACACATGAGCAGAACACCAATGACACAGAGAAGAGAGTGTCCAGCATCAGGAAAGGGACATTACAGGTAGAGGGAACGTTAAGCACATAGAAGCAGGTAAAAGCACAGCTGTTGTATGCTGGGAATGAGAGCAAATGTCATCTGGTTGGTATGAAGCAAAGAAGGGTGGAAGGGGCTTGGCCCACCTCCTTTAGAAATGGGGTGGGGTCTGGTTCCTACACACAGAGGACCAAGTGGGAGAGGGTGAGGGCTGAGGCTGGCTGAGGACTCTCACAGAGAAGATGGTGGGTGTCAGGAACTGGCTAGAGAAATTAGACAGTGTACAGACAGGATCTTACTCTGTTGCCAGGAGGGCCCACAGTCCACAGTGCTTGCAGGCTGGCCTTGAACTTCTTTGCTCTTCCTATCTCAGCCCCCAAGTACTAGGGGTACAGGCATAAGTCCCTATGCCTGGCTCAACTGCTCTTGTATAATATTAGTGGGACCAGCCTTAATATTATACACCCCAGGGGCTCAGGAGAGAGAACTACTAATGGCAAGGACATTTTCAGGAAATAGAATCTCAGCACACCGAGCTCTAATAGTCCACTTGCTTTAATTTTTCTGGCATAACATCCTTTATACACAGCTTCAGTTCTGTTCCCATGTCTAGCTCCTTTCTTGCCTGATTTCTCTCTATACTTACCTATTGCTCCCTCTAAGTTCTATCTTAATTCTCTCGTCTTATTCTGCCTCATCTAATCCCTTTTTGGCTTGTTCTCACCCAGCTAGTACTTCCCCATCTGGCTCTTCCTCATCTTCCATCTCGTTCCTCTAGTACTCTCTTCTAGCCCTTCAATCAAGTTCTTCCCCATCTCAGTTTGTTCCTCTCAAGTTCTTACCCGTCAAGTTCTTTCATTCTTTTTTCTCTTCTCCGTCCCTGTGCCCTGGAAGTCCTGGTATATAAAGCCAGGCTTCCAGGGTCAAACGGAGGCATGATAAGAGTCACATTGAGAGGCAATAACCGTTAATTATCATTTGCAACCCTAAAGGGAAGTGACCAATGGGGAAATGAATTAACTAAAGGCTAAATTCAGGTAATATCTAAGAAGAGGGATCTTATGTGCTTAACTATTAAACTCTTAAACGTGATTAGTAGAAAATGTTAAGAATCTATAAGTTGCTAGGTCAATGGGAGAAAATAAAACCGTCTTCTTTTTTCCTGTTGCTCCTATCTGTCCAAGCTATCTGCCGTTTTTCTGCAGGGAGGGGGAAGGTGTGCTCAGTTGCTAGGCAACCTGTGTACAGCCAGATGCCTTTGGTGATAGTTAAAGGCAGATCTGGAACTAGAGGTAAGGTTTGGGGAAGCAGGAAGTAAAGCTTAATTGGCCTTCTCAGATGGGTAGCCTGGATGCTTAAGTCTGTTCTTAGAAAGTACGGAGGTATCTCTGATAAGGTACTTTCCTCCATCTAGGGATAGACCTGGCCAGATGCTGCCAATGATGATAATTACAGGGAGGCTTGAACTGGGGTTCTGGCTGAGCATAGCTGTCAGTGCAGAAGGTTATCTAAATATTCCTAGAAGTGGTTAGGTAAGGAGTTAGAGGTCTATAAAGTTAGTAAGGCTGTAAGAAAGGAGGGTCCGAGCTAAATTGTGTAAAGCTATTACTGAACATCCACCTGACCTAGGTGGTGTCTTCTTGTGGAATTTACCTTAAATCAGGAGACTTGCATGTGAACTACTATTACTGTTAGTCCTTGAAAGTTGCCAAGGGAGATATCTGATTCCAGAGAAAGCCTTTCCTGAGGCTGTTCTCCAAATACCTGGAATGTGTATGTCCAGAGAGTGATCAGTCCACGCTGTTAGCCCTTCTTAGAGAAAAGTCAATTGGGAAAACTATGAAGGCACACATGATTTTCATAACAGAATACAGCTGATATATAACAAGCCAAGTAACACCAAAAACTCCTTGGAATTTGGCTTTCTCTGGAGGAATCCAGCTGAGTTCTTATGATATATTCCTGCGGCCCGCAGCAAACTGCACACTTGTCAAGATAAAAAAGAGAGAGAGAGAAAGAAAAGGAATAGTGTTTGGTATGTTGTTGAAAAGGAGAGTCCAAAGATGATTACTGAGTTTGGACCAAGAATGCAGAAGAATGAAGTTGCCATTTGCAGAGGTGGCAGGCGGGCAATTTTTTTTAAAAAGTGCTTGTTTTTAATAGTTTGATGAGTCTGAGATGTCCTCAGGAAAATGTTGACAGGCAGACAGACTTGCACATCTAGTGTTCAAAGGAGGCAGGAAGTGGAGACAGGGCTTCATGACTCACTACGAATCTGGATTCAGTCTCAGGAACCACGGAGTGGAACAAGAGAACTGACTTGCAGAAGCTGTCCTCTGACCTCTCCTCCAGTGCGCGCGCGCGCACACACAGTAAATGTAATTTTTAAGAAAATGATGATGTAAACATAGTGAACTAAACAGCCAGTGTAAACCAAGAAGCGCTGAGTTATCCAAAAGCTCCAGTTGTCTTCTACTTCCGGTGCTTTTGAGTTTTGTTTTGTTCTGTATATTTTTCAGACAGCATTTCATGTAGCCCAGGTTGACCTCAAACTCAATATATAGCTGAGGATGACCTTGACCTTCCTGACTCCTCCTGGGATTATGGGCATATACCATCAAGCCTGGCTTAAATGTTTTATTTATTTAATTATTTATATTTTTGAGACAGAGTCAGACAAGCCTTGAACTCCCAGAGACAGATAAACCTGCCTCTGTTCCACAAGTGCTGGGATTAAAAGTGTATGTCACTATGCCCAGATAGAAGTTTCCTTTTATTAGGAATATCCTGCTAGAGCCTTCAGTTGGCCCACCCCAACATCTTCCCTATCTAGGAACTGCTGGAGCACATGAAGGGGCCAGCCCTATACCTCCATAGCCGCAGGATCCCCCGTGACTCAGGGCAGCAACAGGACACCTGAGAGTCTCTCTGAGGATCCAGTATTGACAGTGTAGCAGAAGCTAATGAACATTCACAAGTAAAGCTGTTTGGTTTGGGCCGATTAGACATGACACACCTCAACTTCCAATGCCACCGGGATGAATGAGTATGTGATGGAGATGGAAGGAAGACGGAGTGGAATGGTACCTGCACAGAAACACTGCGGTTGATAGAGGAGCGGGTCATTGCCCAGAGGGGTTGACGAGATTTTTGTTGTTTTTCTTTCTTTTCTAATTTTTATTTTTTATTAACTTTTTGTGGGGGAGGCGACACGGGTGGAGAGCAGATACGGAAAGACTAGGGAATTAGTGGGATTGGTGCACATGATGTGAAATACCCAAAGATTAAAAAAAAAAATTATGTTATTTTTTTTTAAAAAAAGGAATGGCCGGGCGGTGGTGGCGCACGCCTTTAGTCCCAGCACTCGGGAGGCGGAGGCAGGCGGATCTCTGTGAGTTCGAGGCCAGCCTGGTCTACCAAGTGAGTTCCAGGAAAGGTACAAAACTGCACAGAGAAACCCTGTCTCGAAAAAACCAAAAAAAAAAAAAAAAAAAAAGGAATGTCCTACTGATCATATGTAATCCCAGGTCAGCATGCAGTGACTTTGTACATGTGAATAGACTGGCTCTTAGCGTCAGTTGCTCTCATTCATAAAGCATAGTACAAGCATTTCTCAAGACATTTTGTGTACTGTTTCTAATTTTCTCAACACCCAGAAAAGGCAGTGTCTTCCTTAGACAGGAAGGCATAAAAGTCAAACATGTTCCTCACAGTTTGGAGAGCTAGGAGGCCTTGGATCAAGCTATCAGTATGGCCAGGTTCTTCCTGTTCCTAAGAACATGAACTTAAGGCTTCTGAAGGCACAGTCTTCATTTCCATGGAGGGAGACTAGGCAGGTTCAGACTAGAAAGGGCAAGGACTGCTAAAACACTTACTTTGATGTTTAGGCTGTGGGCGTGGCTCACTTGATAGGTGGTGACCTAGCATTCAGTGAGCCCTGGGTTCCACAGTGCAGAGACACGCATCTAAAATCCCACAATACAGAGGTGGAGGTAAAGCAGGAGAATCAAAAGTTCAAGGTTGTCCCTGGCTATATACAAGTGAAGTTTGAGGCAAACATGGACCTCAAAAAAATTTTTTAATAGTTTGGTGAAGAGAGAAAAGAAAGGCAAAGTGGGCAGAGCTGCTTAATGGAAGGACCCATCGTAACAGAATTTGTGTCACGGGTCCTACATGAGTACTCTTTAGAGTACTCACTGGATACAGATGGGGCATAAGTCAGTCGGTGTGCGTCCTCTGTTAGAGTGCGTCCTGGTTAGGGAAGGGAAGTCAGCGACCCACCATCTCCCTGCCTCCCCCACCTCTCCCACCGCCACAGGAGGACATGGTTACTTGGTTACCTGTCATTCTGTAGTAATCTTATTAGATATGCCTTTGAAAACCTGATTATACTTTTAACCTTTGAAATTCGAGTTATAGAGCTTAGCACAGTGACACTCACCTGTAATCCCATTACTCTGGACACTGAGGCAGGAGGATTGCCATAAATTCAAGGCCTACTTAAGCTAATAGTAAGAACTTGTATCAAAATGGCAAGAATGGTAAAAGTGTAAGTTTAAAAAAACTAACTGTTCCTTTTAAAAGCATGTTTTAGTTTGGTGAATTAAATTCCCATATATTAAACTGCATGTATGTGTTTAATGAGCCCAATTTCCTTTTTAAAA